AATGAATCATTTTCAAACCACCATGTTCGTATGACTTAATTATAACATCACGTTTAACTTTATCAGTTTTTCCGCACCACAAAAATTTGTATAATATGTTATTTACTTTTTTTATATAAGAGTCATGTGGGTTTGGAAGAGCTATAAAAAGATGATTAAATTGTGAAATTAGCAATGTTTTAATAATGGTTATCTTACCTATTGGAGTGAGATTTCTTCTATTCCACGAACTTATGAGAGATTTAAGTTTAACAAGTTTCTTATCAAAGTTTAATTTAACTACTCTATGTAAATCAACATCATATTCAATGCCTAGCAAATTAAAACGTGTACTTCCCCACAAAAGATTGTGCTCTGTTGTATATTTATTATTACTATATTTTCACTGCCTATCCAGATTACCTGGGTCTTGGTGAAATTCATTTTAAGACCTGAAATTCTGGCATAATAGTTAAGTTGTTGTAGCGTTACATTTAAAGATTTTTCTGAACCGTCAAGGATAACAGACGTATCATCAGCAAACTGCGATAAAAGAATGTCTTTGTTATTTACAACAATACCGCTGATATCAGAATTATTTCTTAATAGAATCGATAAAATTTCTCTGTTGATGTACGGTTTTGTCGTGGTTCTTGTTCTCGCTTTACTCACTGGTATACATTCTCTCACTAGATTTTTTAGATATACAGCAAAGTAGTCCCAAGAATCAGTTGTACTATCAGTTAATGTGAGACTGTTGGTGTTTAGTTCTGAGATTTTATCTCTGATGGCACTATACTCTCCTCTGTGAAAGTTGGGTTTGTCGAAATTGAGGATTGGGTTTATTGTTTTACATGTTAATTCAAAGGACAATAAAAGATTATCACTTTTCCTATACTTGGATTGTATGTTAATTCCCTCATCATTTCTTCCTCGTTAGTGAAAATGAGGTGTGTTTTGGTGGTGGAGGAAAACCTGAGTGCCCGCAGAAAAACCACCCCACAAGTACCTTGCGTCTGCCTTGTATCGTAGGTCTCGAACCTAGCAAAGAGCATTGTGCAAAAGGAAAGTAAATCTACTTAATTATCCATCATAATTGATGAGAAATTCAAAACACGAACTAAGTGTATCAAAAGTTATGTCCCTTTATTTCATGATTACTACGACTTTTTTAAGATAAATCTGGAGAGAACAAAAAAGAAACAATCCATACAGGGT